TTACTAAATATCGTTAAAAACAACCCTATCCTAATTTAGAACATTCTAGTAAAATTTGAAACTTTTTTAAAAAAAAATAAAAAAAATATTATAAACTTTTGAGTTACTAAATATCGTTAAAACAACCCAATCCTAATTTAGAACATTCTAGTAAAATTTGAACACTTTTTAAAAAAAAGTAAATAAAAAAAATATTGTAAACTTTTGAGTTACTAAATATCGTTAAAAACAACCCTATCCTAATTTAGAACATTCTAGTAAAATTTGAACACTTTTATAAAAAAAGTAAATAAAAAAAAAATTGTAAACTTTTGAGTTACTAAATATCGTTAAAAATAACCCTATCCTAATTTAGAACATTCTAGTAAAATTTGAACACTTTTTAAAAAAAAAGTAAATAAAAAAAAATATTGTAAACTTTTGAGTTACTAAATATCGTTAAAAATAACCCAATCCTAATTTAGAACATTCTAGTAAAATTTGAACACTTTTATAAAAAAAAGTAAATAAAAAAAAATATTGTAAACTTTTGAGTTACTAAATATCGTTAAAAACAACCCTATCCTAATTTAGAACATTCTAGTAAAATTTGAACACTTTTATAAAAAAAAGTAAATAAAAAAAAATATTGTAAACTTTTGAGTTACTAAATATCGTTTTTTCTCCATGGGATACTTTTTGGAAGTTTTTTAAAAAATCTGATTGTTTGAATACCTAAATATATGTTCTACAAGCAATAAGATTTTAATTAATGTAACTGTATTAGAAATACTTAAAAAACATTTTTTGTAATGTATTGTAAGTTTTTGTATGGAACTATATTTGATATTTATCTATCGGGTCGTTCAAAAGTATTGTCACCCATACGCAATATAATTTTCTATTTCAGATGGCTGACACGAGCTCCTACAGTTCAGAAGGGAGGTAGTGTGTGACAAGACTTTCAGAAAACCCTGTACTATAATAAATTGAAACAGTGAATCTAATAGTCACTCATGACAAAAAAAGTCTTAAAATCTATATGAAAACCTAATATACAAATTCTTATGTCCGATAGGAGATTGCAACTGCTACCACAACAATTTCTCACAGATTAACTTATAACTTATTCAGCAAAAGTGCAATAAGTTTGCATCTTGAATACATTTATGCCAATATTACATACATAATGATTGTCAATTATTATTTATTCAGTCAAGTTAGCAAGTCATCCATGATTCTATTATGCCAACCATCATGGTTCTGCATCAAGGTGAGAAGGTCATTGGGCAACATCCTGTGTCATAATATAACTGGTCAATGTAGTTGGTTGCTGGGTGATTAACTCATCTTGATACATGGCTAAGTGTCTAGTAGATCTTGTTTTGCTTGTCAGCAAGGCACGTTCATCATGCATGTAAAATTGTACAAATATCAGGGATGGGTTCATAGAACTGTGATTTAGTTGGGTGTTGTCTCTATAAGATGTTAAGTATAAATCTCAGCAAACATCAAGCTTAGATACTAGGGTTTTAGTTAATGTCCAGTGGCATCTCTATCTATAAAAGGCAGGATGTGTGTGTGTGTGTGTGTAACAAATGCACGGCTGCAATTTTCGACAGATTTGCACCAAAATTTACATGCACATACACCAAGTTAGCGGGAAAGCCAAGACCAACTTTGCATTTTCCAACTCCCATCGATAGTGGAAATAATCGATTTTTTTATGCTTCAACAGCAATTTTCATGTAGTTTGCGACCATTTTCTACTGGCCAGAGTGAAAGCCTATAGCTGGCTGCCACGAATAGGCAGGAAGATTCTATTGGCCAGTGTAAGAGCCAACAGCTGAATGAAACGAATGTTAACTAGCATGCAAAAAAAATCGATAGCTGCATTTGTCACAAGTGGGAAAAATTTAAATCTGCATGGCACTTTACTCCAATTGGCTCATTCGCTTGCTTAAACTCAATGTTGATTCTGATTCCACAGAACTGGGTTGGGTGTGAAAAAGTATTTGTTGTTAACATACTTTTTTCATTCAGTTTTTCCAGTATGAGTTCTTTTTTAAAGCTGATCATTTTGTGTTCATTTTGTTTACTTCTTTTTTTCGTAACAGATTTAATGTTTAGTATAGAGCTTAGAAAAAATTTGCAGTGTGAGATAGGCAAGAAGTAAGGCATGTAGCAACATCAGCATGGCAAAAGGCACTCCTTTAAAAACAAGGAAGGGCAAAAATATTTTATGTCAAGTGATAGCGATTGCTGTATGAGTCGTACGATTTTTGAATCAAGTACGACCAACGCCAGGCCATGCTGCTAGTCATACATTAAGAATGCCTCTACAGTTGCTCGAAAGAATCACTGCTTGAGATTGTCTGGTATATCAGATTTTCAAATTACATCCATTTTATTCAAGGCAGCCCAGTGTGTAAGAAATGTTCTTTAAACATCATTGGTCACCATATATGTAGAATTTAATTCCCATAACAGCCCATCCAATTGAAAAGGATCCAATTGTCAATACTAATATGATATACAGCATTAATTGCAAACTAAGACTCCATATATGATAAAAATTAAAAATTATCTATTTTAAATAAGATATCCTTTAGTCTATAAAAAGGGGTTTTAAATATCTTCAGTAATTAATATTAAGAAAAAATCTAACAAGAATTTTTTCAAATCCATGTTCCAAGGTTAAAATTACTTCTATCTAATGGTTTTTACCAATTCCTCCAATGATGTCTTCTGATATAAAATCCTTAAACTATAGTGTTCTCTAATAGAAATACCGATAAGGTATCAGTTTGGGTTCATCTTTTCCTGACAAATAATATCAATTCAAATAAGAATCAGCAATATTATTAATCCTGACATGGCATCTTGGCTTCAGTCACTTTCACATCACCATAAAGTTGCTTCCTTGTGCTTCTTCTATAAATATTTTCATGACAACTGTTCAGATGAGCTGTTTGCAATGGTACATAGACTCTATGAATTTAAGCACAGTACTAAATTAGCCACAATATTCCACCAGTTTAAAATGAAATTGGCTAGATGTAGCCATAATTTCTGTGCTAACATTTTCTTTTCTTGCAGAACTCTCTTCCAGCTTCTTGTTTCTAGACAAGTTTGATCTTCAAAAATTTAAATGTAATGTCAATTGTTATCTACTGATTTCCTGATTACTCTTCTATTGTTCTCGCTCCTCAAAAATACTTCTTTTTTCTAATTCTCTCACACCTAGTAACCCCTTGTATCCTAGTAGATTTACTGCTTTACATGGGGTGAATTCGATTAAAAAAAACGTTCACACCTACAGATAGTCAATGAAGAGATGTTAATGTTCAAACCATTTGCTGCAGATTTGAATCAACCCATAACAAGGAAAAAGGTGAGAAAAGTTTTTAATTATAAAACTATAAAATATTTTTATTTTCATGTTTTCTTTTACAACTAAATTTTTCTCAGTGAGTATGAGCATTAATGTTCTTCTGTTAAAGTTCCTTGTTTGTAGTTGTGTGCTAAGATGAATAGAAATGCAATTTCTTTATGTGTATGTGTGAGATAAAAGAGGCAAAGAAGAAAGTGAGGAGGAAAGTGTAAGTGTCACATAGCTTGTTGAGGAAAAGTGTAAATGTCACTTAAACTGGTGAGAAAGATGGATGAATGTGTAAGGGAATCTCCTTGAAGCCATGCATATCATGAACAGTTGCTGTTCCTGCTACTTACTGCCTTGTCAAGTCTAGTGACTTTGCTTATATACTCTTCAAGAGGATCAGAAAGAATTTTCTTTTTTTATTATCAGTGGACCCATTGGTTGAAAAATGTTAAATATTCATTTTCTAAGGATTAATTTATTAACCAGAAGGATGCACGGATCCTCTAAGAAACCATTTTTTGTCATTTGATGTTTGACAGTCTTGGTGTTGATTTCTGTCTTCGTTACATACATGTTTGATTTGTTAATGAATATTTGCAAAGTTATAAACTATATATGATGGTGGAATATCCAGTAAACAATGCTGTTTAATGAAAAAATATGTCATATTAAACATAATAGTGAAAATGAAAAAAATAATTCTTTTACAATATAGTGAGATTAGGCCATGTCATAGATTATTGTCTGTAGAGGTAATATGTAGTAGCAGAAGCTGATGGATACCTTTAAAAACTTTTAAAAAAGAAATCTTCTTATCTCTTTTCCTTTGTTTAAAAGCTGATAATCAAATATGACTTTTCTTTGTTCTGAAATATTGATGTTCATTTTGGACTTAATGAAAACTATCTTTTCAGATAGTTTTTTATTGTTTTATTCCTATTTTATGCAATAAATATTTCAGCCTGGCATGTATTAGCTTCCATTCTGTATTGTTGGTTAGTATTGATACCTCCTTGATAAATATATGACATCAGCAAGTATATATTTACCAATAATTATTGTACATAACTAACATTTAGTAACTATACAAACCTAATGACATATGTATGTCTTTATTTGGTAAACTCATTTATATTGGGCTTTTACAAGATTAGAAAGGGGTGTAAGACAAGGATGTACAGTGAGGTAATCTTGAGAGAATTAGAAGTCTTACAAGGATTCATTAATAGCAGCCACAATCTTCACAACATTAGATGTGCAGATGACACAGTGTTGATAGCAGAAATGGAAAAAAAACTACAAGAACTCCTACAGAATATAGTGAAGGAAAGCCAGAAGAAAGGACTAAACATCAATTATAAGAAACAGCCAAACATTTTGTTTTAAACTTGTAAATCTGTAGTGTAGACCCTTTAAATATTTCAACATTATTTTTTAAAAATTCTCCAAGTTGAACATAGGATTTTGGATGGCACATTTATTTTAAAGCTGGTCAAAGTTTGCTTCAAATCTAATGAGCTCTCAGTGTACTTAATAACAGCCAAATTTCAAATTATGTAGAAAAAAAATCTGTAAACATCGACATGATTAATGTAACTGAACAATGTCTCACTTGATTGAAATATGCCAGGTGATCATCATGGAAACCTTGAATATGCATCATGATGCAAAAAAATTTATCTGTATATGTTACTAATATGATAGTAGCCAAATTTAAGAAGCTGCAAGAACTCCTACAGAAGGTAATAACAGAAATTGAGAAGTAAGGACTAAGCATTAATGTAGGAAGACTGAATGTATGGTTGTCAGCAAAAGGGAACTGCCCAAGATGGGAACTACAAATTGGAGATGCCAAAATCAAGCAAGTATAAAGATTTAAATATCTTGGAGGTGTTCATACAGAGGATAGAATTGTGATACCAAAATTCAAAACCTCATTGGGATAGCGACTGATGCCATTGAAAAGCAAGAAAACATAGTTTTCAAGTGTCTGGGAAGTGTTCTGACAAAGGACAGTAAGTGCAATACTGAAATCTGAAGATGTATTGCAATGGCCAAATACACATTCCAAGCGCTAGGCAGAGTATTATGAGACAGAAGGATTTTGCTGGCAACAAAGAAAAGAGTAATGATATCAGCCCTCCTTTATGGCTGCAAATGTTGGACAATCTCCTTGGAGCTGAAGAAGAGACTTGAGGTAACGAAGGTATGGTTCTACAGAAGGATGCTAAGTATACCATGGACTGAACATGTGAGCAATGATAAGGTTTTGGATGCAAACAAGGAGGAAATATTTAACATCAGGAAGAGGCAGCTACAATTTCTGGGATATAATGAAAAAGGAAGGCTTTGAGAATCAGATACTCATAGGGCCGATAGAGGGAAAGAGAGACAAAAGAAAGCAATGAATGACATACCTAGTGTGCTTAAGCAAGTGGATGACAGAACAGGGGCTGGGAGAAGTAGCAAAAGGTGAAAACATATTGAGAACTACAAAAGATAGGGGGAAGTGATTGCCTTATATCCTGAAGGACATGGCACATAAAAGAAGAAAAACCAAGGACAATCTCCCTACAGATGAAGAAGGTACTTGAAGCAACAGAAATCATCACCATCTATCTTCTTGAATCCCATTCATTCTTTGTCCTTGCCTCAATTCTCCCTCTCTTTCACTTTCACTCCCTGTAACCTCCTGCATACTAGTGGCATTCCTCCTTGATTTGCATGACTTTCTTTCAGATAAACTCTATGATTTTCATTTCTCTAGGTCAACAGCCAATCTGTTAACTCTTATTACTGAATTTTTCTATAAAGCTTTAGATAAGAATGATAAGGCTCAGGCAGCCATATAAGAAAATACATGTCATACAATAGAAAGTTAATTAAATTTGTGCTGATCTTTTAAGATAATGTAACTGTTTTTTTTTTATACTGACAATTAGAAAATACTGCATATCATCTGATTTCTTTATTTCCTGACATGAAGAAGTATTTGAAAACAGCTAAGTAGATATTATTATGCCAGTTATAATAGGATCAGTACCATTTCTGCAGAATTATTGCAGGCTGAAACTCTGTAAACGTCCATTATCAAATACAATGAATGTTTAATCAGTTCCTTATTCTTTATATATATTTGTATCTGAAAGAAAGCAATTCCTAAACAATTAATGGATTTAACTAATATATAAGTTTAATAAATATAACATTATTTACTATTACTCTAAGAAGAATATTTACAGGGTGCGATGGATAAATTGTCTTCTGAATTATGCAAAAAATGAAAATGTTGTAGCATACATATGGACAATAATGGATATGTCCCCATTCCCATAAAGACAGTAGTAAATACTGTATGTTGGTCTGCAGTTCGAGATTCATTGTAGAATTCACTTGACTCACTTCTAGCAGTTGACTACTTCTTCTACAGGCCACTGGCAAATCTTGTATGTGTTGTTCTTGTCCTAAGTATTATCATTCATTACCAACCTTTTGGTTATTATTCTATTTAGTAATCTTACCTAGGTTACAAAATTTTGGTGATGAGGATGAGATAAAATTACAACAGAAAATAACACTGGCATCACATTTTAACAGATATATTTACCAAAATTACACAAAAATATCATGAAATAGAAAAGAATATATTTATTCAATAAGATCGCCATTGGCTTCAACCATGGTCTCCAGACAACTTTGGAATCTCCTGCTTTTCTTCTGGATAGTCTCTTTTTTTAAGTTGGTGAATGCTGCCATAATCCTTGCCTTCAGTTCAACTTTAGTGTCACAAGGAGTTTTTTGCATTCTTGCTCAACTGCGCCCCACACATAATAATCAAGGGGGTTGCAGTCTGAGGTGCCGAGTGCCCAGATGTAAGGAGTTATGTGATCATAGAAATTGTTTGACAACCATGACTGGGTTCTCTTGCTTTTATGGCATGGTTCAGAGTCCTGTTGCCAGACATAGAGTCTTCCAGCAGGCACGCTCTTGACCCAGTGCAACACTACCTCCTCAAGGCACTTGATGTAGGCCTGTGTTGAGTCCCTCACCAACAAATTTGGGAGTTCTTTTCTTGTCAGAACATTCAGAGTGAGTTTTTCGAGCTGCCATACCTTTGTAATCACTATTAGACTCATCCAACACTTACTGAATCCTCTGCACTATCCTCAGATTAACATCCAGACACTCTGAAATGTTCACACCGGAGCTTCTGGTGTGAATGCCAAGCAGAACAGCATGCCATTTCAAAATTTCTGGTGGAGTGAATTGTGTCATAGTGATCTTTTTCTCACAGACAGTGCTCAACTGACCCTACTATATTGTGTATTTGACAAACTCAAGAACAAACAATGCATACAGGAGAAATTAAAAATATAAAATGGTGACAATGTACCCATTGCACCCTCTATCTATCTATCTATCTATCTATCTCAGTCTGTTCATTATCTATCTATCTATCTATCTATCTTGGCCTTCTTTCTATCTATCTCAGCCTGTTCCTATCTATCTATCTATCTATCTATCTATCTATCTATCTATCTATCTATCTCAGTCTTTTCTTATCTATCTATCTATCTATCTATCTATCTATCTATATTAGCCTTCTTTCTATCTTTCTCAGCCTGTTCCTATCTCTCTATCTATCTATCTATCTATCTTGGCCATCTTTCTATCTCAGCCTGTTCCTGTCTATCTATCTATCTATCTATCTATCTCAGTCTGTTCATTATCTATCTATCTATCTCAGTCTGTTCTTTATCTATCTATCTATCTATCTATCTTGGCCTTCTTTCTATCTCTGCCTGTTCCTATCTATCTATCTATCTATCTATCTATCTATCTATCTATCTATCTCTCAGTCTGTTCATTATCTATCTATCTATCTATCTATCAAGTCATGGTCAAATTACTGGAGGAATAGTGTCCTGTTTTTACTGGTATATATTGGTATGAGTGTGCCCTATTCTTCTGATAGCACCTAGTACATGTTATCTGTTCTGAGGTAAAATTTTACCATATGATCTTTGAAAGTTAAGGGAATATGTAATTCTAAAGAAATGAATGATTTGTTGTGGTTTATATCAGGCAACAGTGAAAAAAATAACAATCTCTTTCAGTTTGTGTTTTTATTGAAAGTTCATGATTTCATCTTCTATCATAAAAATGAAAATGTGTCTTTTTTCCTTTTCTTGAGAAAATATATTTAGTTATGTAATCATTTAATTTTCCAATCCAGAAATCTTGAGGATATGAAATGAATTCAAGATTAGGATCTCTATTTTGCTTTATTCAAAAAGAAAAGTACAAGTGAAAGAGATATTTTGAGTTTGATTAAAAAAAATTTTTGTTGAAGGGAAAAATTCAATTGAAGAAAAATAAATTATTTCCCCCGCCACAAAATCCTCATTAAAATGCACAGGACAGAAAAAAAAATAGATTTTTTTTTTTTTTTTTGGTTTCTAATGACAGAGAGTAAAAGTGGAAAACCCTTAAAAAAAAAAAATAAAAAAAAATAAAAATAAAAATAAAAGATGAAATGAAAAAAAAATAAAAAAGGGGAAGTAACTCTGACAGAGTTGATTAAATTTAAGCCATAAAAGGTGTAACTTTCGATATTTCTTGTGCTTCATCTAGCCAAGGGCAGATAATCAGAATTCAAAGTGGGACATAAAAACAAATAAAAAAAGACCAAAGAAGAAAAAAAAAGAAAAAATGAAAACTTACTCTGTAAAGTTATTTTCACTTGCTATTTTGGTGAGTTCTTTTAAAGAATCATCTCATGCTATTTTTTATGTTATTTTTCTTTTCCAAAATGTAATTTTTTTCTATTTCATATTTTTCATTTGTAAATTTATCATTTCATTTATTATCACTGAAGAAAAAATATGGCTTCAATTTCTAAAATTAATGAAATTTATCTATTCAGCATATTCATCTTCATAAATATAGATCTATTCATCTATCTGTTTCAGTTTGTTCATACCTATCACTCAGTCGGTTAATATCTATCTATATGTCTATCTATCTATCAGCTTCCTTCTTTCTTTTTTTTAACTTTCTATTGCTATATCTGTTTATCTATCTATCTCTTTCTTTCCTTTTTACTTTTTTATTGATCTATATATCTTTGTCTGTTTCTTTCTTTCTATCTATCTATCTATCTATCTCATCCTGTTTATTATCTAGATATCTCTTTCTTTGTTTTTACTTTTTTATTGATATATATATATAAATATAAATATTTCTTTCGTTTTTCTTTCTTTCTTTCTATCTACCTACCTATCTCATCCTGTGTATTATCTATATATCTATCTCTTTCTGTCTTTTTTATTTTTTTATTGAGCTATCTCTGTCTCTTTCTTTCTTTCTATCTCTTTCTTTCTTTTTTACTTTCTATCTATCTATCTATCTATCTATCTATCTATCTATCTATCTATCTATTTCTTTCTTTCTATTTATCTCAGCCCATTCGGTATCTATCTATCTATCTATCTATCTATCTATCTATCTATCTATTAGAGTAGTCTTCAACATAGGCTGCTATCTACCTCAGTCTCTTCATATCTATCTCAGTCTCTTAATATCCATCTATCTCTGTATCTCAGCCTCTTCATATCTATCTATCTATCTATCTATCTATCTATCTATATATATATATATATATATATATATATATATATATATATATATATATCTGAATATCCAGAGAAAAATAAAATCTCTGGTGAAATAAATTATAACAATGGAACATTAAAGTAGTTGTTTTTTTTTTTAAATTAATATATATATATATATATATATATATATATATATATATATATATATATATATATCCATCTTCATATCTATCTATGTATATCTATATCTCCCTCTTAATCAATATATCTATGGTCATATCTATCTATTATCTATCTATCTATCTATCTATCTATCTATCTATCTGTCTGTGATCATATCTATCTATCTATCTATCTATCTCAGTTTGTTCATATTTACCTACATAAAGTAAGATTTCATTTTGTATAGGAATTTTTTTAATATTTTTCCATAATTAATAAATAAAAAATCTAAAAGAAGATTTTTCCAAGATCCGTGTTACATGGCTTATGATACTGGTAATATTATTCTATAGTTTTCCTGCATTTTTCCTATGATTTCTTCTGATCTAAAATCCTTAAGCCATGGTATTTTTCTGCTAGAAATGCCAATGCAATGTCAGTTTGACTTCATTAATTCATCTTTTCCTAACATATTTTCCTGACAAATAACACCCGACATTCATTCCTGAGCTTGACCAAAGAATGGTCAAAACAGTTAAAACCAATGACAAGAACAATGCACAAGTCTTGCATAGTTCTGTTCTAACCATTAATTCCCTGAGAATAAGCCAAAATAAGTATTCATTGTCCATCAATAATATATGTATAAAGCAAAGTATTCATTGTCCATCAATAATATATGTATAAAGCAAAAATTGCTCCCCAAGTATGCATAATATATCTACTTACTATCTATCTATCTATCTATTAAAATGATTTGCTGGAAATAGGAGGAGAAAAGAGAATGTTGAATCTCATATTCCAAGTATTACGAAAGGCTCAAATGAAAAAACATAAGACTTGCTCTGATGTGAAGTTTGAAATAAATTTACTTTTATTAAAAGACATGAAAAATAGTAATATTACAAAATTTACCAAACAAACTGACACAAAATGTTTCTTTGTGCACAACACAATTAGGCAAGATAACAAGTTCTAATTACAATTTTATTAGGCTTACAAAAACAACTATAATTATTATCAACAAAATATTCATTTACTTCAATTCATTCAACTTGAGAAGGATTAACAGACATTACAGGTTTTCTATTAAAGAATAATTCATTTTCATGAAATGAGATTAAAAAATCAAATAGATCTTGTGTTTTCATAAAAAATTCAGAAGCAGGCATGATACCTCTAATTTTTGACAAACATTCACAAACAACTATAGAAAGATAAACGTATACCTCATTAAATTTGTAGAATTTCACAGTTTCTGCCTTCTCTTCCTTTTTGTTATGGGGTCCACCCCTTTTTCATACAAGTGGACTCACCCAGTGTGTACTTGTACTGCTGCCGGTGAATACCCGGAAGTCAGACAGTCATGCAAAGAAGAATCAGCAATATTACTGGTCATGATCTGGCATCTCAGCTTCTGTCACTTTAGCCCACTACCGTTATGTAGCTTCCCTGTGCCTTTTTATAAATATTTTCACGGTAATCATTCTGATGAGATTTGATTGTTGGTACTTTACACAATACTAGATTGGCAACTGGTTCTCATAATGTAACCGTAAGTTCTATGCAAATAGTTTTTTTCTCTCGCACTTCTTGCTTGTAGGATTCACTTCCGCCTTCCTGCTTTCATGTCAACTACGATCTTCAGAAATTTAAATGCAGTGTCAGTTGTCTTTCATCTGTCTCCTAGAATCCTGTTCTTTTATTATACTGTGTTTTTTTTACTCTTCCAATAAACTCCATGCACCCTTGTGGTTTTTTTTTTGCCTTGCTTGCGGTGAAAAGAATAAGAAAAAGAAAAAATATCAATGAACCTGTTCTGGGGTCTACCCCTTTTTTATACAAGTGGACTCGACCAGTGTGTATTTGTACTGCTACTGGTGAATACCCGAGAGGTAGAGTAATAGAGAAAGTAAGAGTGTGAGGTAACCGCTTTGTAGGAGTCATAGTTACAAGCACATAGACTCAGAAGGAAATCCCTCTTTGATACTGAATTTCCCAGATTGTATATATATTATTATTGTTACTAACCACATTTCTGGATCTACTAACCTTATTACCAATTATATTATTATGTCAATACATTTATTTGCTATATTTCATTCCTGCGTTTGTCATTCATTTTGAGACCGGATTTTATCCTGGAATCCACAACACTTTTCTTTCTTTCTGCTTCTTTCTTTTTATCATCCTCATATTCAGAAGTGGATTTTAGCTTTGATGTTGTTCTGATCCCAGAACAAGCTGCCATCTTCCTTTTGAATGCTGAAAACCTTCTGCAACAACTGCCAATGACTTTCATTTGTGAATCCCTTCTTATTTCTGTTTTGTTTTTCTTTTTCTTTATCTAAGTTCATTTGTAAGCAACCAGTCAACATCTACCTTGTGAAAGCCAAATCTGTTCTGTCTATTGGACAAACCAGACTTCTTAAATAGCCACAGATCGGCTTTGATTTGAATCAGAAATTTGATGCTTTGGGGTTATGATTTACTTTCTCCACTGCTTAAAAAATCGTTAAATGCATCTCTTTAAATAATGCCTATTCGCATATTTTATTATGGTGGATTTTCAGACCACCAAACATGAGCCTCTTATTTTACAATTTTGAAAACATGTATCTTTTGACAGCATCAATTTAAGAATCACATATACAAAGTTTTGTTTTATTCAAAACATTTTTACTAACCATCTGGCTTCATTATAGCAGTTTTTAATTAAAGAATATGTCATAAAAAATGTAGCATATTGTACTATTCTTTGATTTACTCTTTATTTATTTTTATATAATTTTACATTGTTTTTTTATTATATTAATTTCTATACTATCTATATGATCAAGTGACTACACATAGCAATTTACTTTGAAATCTCTTCTTCATGAGTCAAGAACTTTTCCGTACCCCTTCATATAACCAATTACTAATCTTTGTATTTATCAAGCTAGGAATCACGCTATCAGTATCTATATCATAATCTATTGATATACTTACCAATATATTTACTCTCTCTCTCTCCATATATATATATATATATATATATATATATATATGAAGAAATATACTGAAAAAAACAAACAAAAATCCTAATATGCAATTATGCTGTTTTAATGTTTAATGTCAACGTCAGACGTTTCGGTCCTATAGACCATCTTCAGGACATATTCATAAAACATAATTAACATAGACCATATACAATTAAACATGAAAAAGACAATGGACATAAAAGCAATACCAATCCAAACAGATAACTGAAATCTTTTATAAGATCAGCATTCCGTTTAAATATGATCACGTCGTCGTCATGTGGCGAGGTTGTGAAAACGTATTCCTAAAATTTGAGCATTTTGTTTGTTTTTCAGTATATTTTCTTCATACTGTCGGATCTATATCCATATATTTGCTAATATATATAAATATATATATTTATATATATATATATATATTATATATATATATATATATATATAATAAACATAAAACATTAGGCAGCATATGATTTACATAAAGAATAATCACATAGAATTAATCAGAATAAATTAATGCGATTATTGACGACATCCAGTATAAAACATATATAGATGCATTACACAACCGTTCATCCATAGCAGATATTCAAAATATCTTTCGGTCGACATACAAGTATATCGTCTCAAGTTTTTGATTTTAAAAAAAAAAACACATGCCTGATGATGGATAGAAGTCCATCCATAAGTACAAGCATTTTAACATCAAATAAACTGAAATTATTACAGACAACAAGTTTTTCATCAAAGATCAAAACTCGCACTATGGATGAACAGGATTTTAATGCATATATTATGTTTTCTAGCGATGGATGTCACCAATAATCGCATTAATACTTCTGATTAATTCTATGTGTGATTATTCTTTGTATATATATATATATATATATATATATATGTATGTATGTATGTATATTAAAATAAAGAGAAAGAACAGTAAGATTTATAATCCGGTGTTCTTATTAATTATTTTTATTTTTAAAAAACAGTGCTCAGTACAATTCTGCAGAGCATAAACATTATAAATTTACTAATTTAAAAGCAGAAACTAAAAACTTTAAAATTAATTATAGAATTAAATTAAAATCCTTACTACTGTTTCATTTTCAAGCAATTTTTGGAATAACTTATTTTGAAATTTACTGAGTTTATAAGCACATATATTCTTGATATTAGTTGCTATGGTTACAGGGAAATTCAATAATTTTGACAAGGGATGGTAGGGTATTCATTTACACTGACAACCTGTATATCAAAAAATGAGGTTAAGTTAAAGTAGGGAAGGGGTGCCTGTTCAACAAAAAATCATAATACATATATATATATATATATATATATATTATTTTATATGTGTAGTACTTGATGAGTACAATGAGCTAAAACTTGAAGGAGGGATTTACTCTATTGCCTGCAATAATTGTCACAAAATGTCTATAGGAGAAATCTCAAGGAATCTAAATAAAAGATTATATGAACACAAAAGGAACATTTTACAAAATAATACATCAAATGCATGAGTTATAAACTGTAATGAGACTGACAACAATTTTTACATAAAAATGCTATACTGATCAAAGGAGAAATCAATTGACTAAGATGAAAATGTTTAGAAGTGCCTTGATTACAAAGTCATCCAGAGTAAATTTGCTCCCTGGCTCTTACAGTATTTCACAATTCCTGGCAGTTCTTCTCTTATCACAGCATGGGATATTTAATA